TATAAGCATGTATATAGTGTTTGTATATTTTATACTGCAATGATTGCAATTTGTTTTAGATCTCTTGTTTATATATGGATGCCAGATTGTTGAACCATAAGTTATTGTAATTATTTATCCGAATAAGAGGTCTTAAATAATGTTAATGATTATTCTACTATCCAATTCCCACGATTTTTTGATAATCTGAGGAGATGTCTGCGATGTGTCTATTTGCTTTTGCAAAATATTGTCAATGAAAGGGGTATAAAATCTTTTTTATATGTTTCGATAATTCTTGCAAGTCATTTATTTAGACTATGTTGAGGTGATGGGGTAGAAAGAACGGTGTATGGATCTGGATAATAAACTGGTAACAGTTTGCCATGGTCTACCCGATGAGGGATTCGATACAAAACTTTATCTCCAATTTTTAAATTCGGGAATCTATGAGAACTATTGTATATTTTAACTAACCTTTTATGTAATTCCTCGGTTTTTTCATTGGCAATGGTTCGGGCTTTTTCTACTGGCGGATACGGATTCGTAAGATCAGAGATGTAGAAAGGGAGGGTTCCGTACAGCAAGTATATCGGAGGGAATGTAGTCGTAGAATGGGGTGTGTTTCGATATTCTTCCAGCGTCTTTTGTAACAATTTAGGCCAAGGGGCCCTAGGGTTACCTTGATATTGTATTTTTAACTTTCTAATCAACGTTGCATTAGCCCGTTCTAATAGTCCATACACTATGGATGGGACGGAGAGGTCATTACGTGCTTTATACCCTTCTCCTGAAGAAATTTATTAAATCTCTTCGAGACAAACGAGGGATGTCTATCCGTGACTAATATTCTAGAGGTTTTTCTATATTTAATAATTGGTTGATGATCTTTATGTAAGTCGCGATGGATATGCCTTTGGAAGCATAACCCCAGATATATCGTGAATGATGGTCGATAACGGTATGGATACAATATTCAGCACTATTATAACCTCCTAGGCCCAAAACCGTATCTAAAGCCACGACATCGAAGGGTTTTGTCGCCCTAGGTAATGATCCCATCAGTCCATAGGAGGGCTGGGTGCTACTCTTTATTGTTTGACACTCCTTGCAGTTCTTAACATAATTCTTTATCTTCCCTATCATCCCCTTAAAATAGTATTGAACGGAAAGTGCTCTGATCATAGCACTGATGCCTGGGTGTCCTAAAGATTTATGGGCTTTCTGAATCAGGTTATCTTGGAGCTCCAGGGGAACAACTATCCTATCCTTGTTATTAAGTCTTATATAAGTAATATCACATCCACCATAGAGTATAATTTTGAAGGTGGTATCGATAAATCACCCTGGTTTTGTTTCAAGGCTTGAGCTGACAAAAAATAAAAGTATGGAAGTCTGGAGAGCATATCGGCTTTGTGATTTTCACAACCCTTGTTATAATTAAAATCCAAGTCATATTCGGACAACTTCAAGGACCATCGGAACAGTCTCCCATTGGTGTGTTTGAAGCTATTCAGCCATATCAGCGCCTTATGATCCGTGTGAACTATGACGTGACTGCCGGATATGTAAGGGTGGTAGCGCTTACAAGTCTCGACCACCGCGAGCAGTTCTAGTTCTGTTATTGTATATTTAGACTCGGCACCTCGCAAATCCTACTGAAATAGGCGAACGGCTTTTGCGTGCCATCAAGATATTCATGTTTAAGCACCGCTCCTATACCCGAGATACTGGCATCACAATAAATATGTGTAGCCAAAGAAGGGTTAAAAAGTTGAAGTATTGGTTTGGAGCATAGCGCTTCCTTTAAATCCTCAAAGCTTCTCTGACATTTCTCCGTCCAGATAAACTGGGAGTTTTTCTTAAGAAGCTCATTCAAAGGGGCTCTTAGGTTGTTAAAATTCTTTATAAATTTCTCGTAATGTGTCACGCTTCCCAAAAAGGATCTTAAACATCGCAAATCACGAGGTGAGGGCAATGATTTGATGACATCGATATTAACGCCCGAAAGCGAGATCTGGTTCTCCGAAATTTCATAGCCGAGGTAAGTTATCCTTTTCATAAATAGTAGACATTTATCTCTCCTCAACTGTATGCCTTCTTTTTTATCTTAATCTCGAATATTATTCCGAGGTGTTTTAAATGGGATTCCTCGTTTTCTGAAAATACTAAAATATCATCAAAGTAAGATGTTACATTATCAAGTTTATATTTCTGCAGAATAGCAGAGAGCTTTCTATTAAATATTGCAGGGGCGGTCTTTAATCCAAAAGGCAATCTACACCAGACATAAGAACCCTCAGAAGTTGAGAAACATGTCACCTCCCGATCTTTTGGATGAAGAGGGATTGTCCAGTATGCGCTCAAGATATCTAGGCATAAAAATACTCTGGCGCCCTGTACCTTCTGAACTATATCCTCCATTAATGGAACTTCATTCTAGAATGAAATTTTTTTTCCACGAGCCTGAACATGAGTTACATCGAAAATTCTGGCAATTAAGAAAAGGACGAGAACAATCTGTAAAGGAATACTACTTTGCAAAGATGAAGATCGCTACCAAATTGGGACTGTCACAGGAATTGATCTTGGAGGGATTAACTTCTGGCATTGATTCGGAGTTTGAGCGCTTATTAATTGCTGCCTCACCGGCAAGTTTGGAACGCTGGCTTGAGATTGCCGAGCCTCAAGAATGGAGTTAGGTTATCCTGTCGACTTCTGTAACGTTTCTATGATGATCTGTACACGCCAATATGCAGATGATATTGTTTTGTGTAAAGAAAAGAGAACAATCAACCGTCTGACTAACAAACTTTATTTCAATCACGCGCCTTTTATTTATAGTTACAAATATTTACATAATTCCTGACAGCGTGAAAATTTACATCTATTAATAATTTATAAGCAGAATGTGACATATATATGTCGTATGTGTCGTGGTCGAATGGAAGGGCGCAAGCGTTGTGCATGTATGCGTCAAAAAAAGAACTTGTTCCACACTCGTGAGCGCGCGCGCACGCGGCGGTGACGTAGCATTCGCCCGCGCGCACTGGCTCCAAGATTTATTTTGTACAGATTTATACATGGATCAATTTGTATTTAATATTTAACATAATAATTATGGTGAAAATAAATTATATATTTTGGGTATTATACAAATTATGACATATATATATATATATATATATATATTTATTTACATATATAATGACTATAAATATATGCCTGATGATATTGAAATCATATTACTGTATTATAACAGATATATTGATATATTTATTGACTTTTGGCATCTTTTTGTTTGTAATTCCAAAGAGGTTTCAAATAGAAAACTGAATATTCGGTTATATAATCGTTTGATATCTTCACAATCTGTGAAAAAATCAACTCGCAACAGTTTCCAACTACACATTGTACAAAACATAATGTTTAAAAATAAATATAGGAATCGATTCATTCCTAACTACTCCGACCACCCAGAAGTCTGAAATTTCACAAATTTCTGAAATGTTGACAAATTTCTGAAATGTTCACCTGCATTGTTCATTGGACTAAGCGAATGTTCAAAATTTCATACTTCTATGCGGTCTGGAAGCATATTAAAATTAATTTACAAAATTTGAAAGGAAATTAGGAAATTTGTCATTTCCCGGCCAACTTGACAACCCAGAAGGCTAAAAACTTGTCAACTTGCATTGTCATCGGCTTCAAAAAGGTGTATAGAATTTCAAATTCCTACGTGCTCTAGAAGTATATTATGAATTGATTACAATATTTGTGGACAGACGGACATAAAGGCATGTTAAATAAAAGCTTAAAATTTTAAAAAGGTTAAAATTTTGAAAGAGTTTGAACTAAAATAATTTAAGGTGAAGTTTAAAATTTAATTGACCACAATACTATATATCATGTACGTATATAAGACAGATGTTAGAAACCACTTGTATGTTCAGGGCCCGAGCCTAAGAAGGCTGACAGGGTCAGGTTCTGGCCCGCGGTGGAGGTGGAGGTATTTGACCAAAACCTGCCCCCCACCTGCCACCACGTCGGCCGCTGCCAGAAGGTAGGTGCTCCTGTCCTGGATATTCTATGTTTGGCTAATGGATCGTTTTGTTGCAGTTTATTGGCAAGCCGGCCCCCATCGAGGCCAAGAAGAAGCTGAGGTTAGTTTGTTTAAAATTATTTTTATTCAAGTAATTATTTTTAAAGAATGTTTCCCAGCATTGATATACTTTTTGATAGCCTATACATTTTATATTTTAAAAATTTTTGATTGAGAAGAATGTGTTAAAGAATTAAAGGGATAATGTGAATGCAGACTATAGAATGATCTATATAAAGGAGAGCATACCAAATCCAATACTAGTCCACTACAACCAGACAGGTACTAAATGTAGTCTATGGTATGTACAGGACCCCAGTGTGGGCGATCAAGCTGCGCCGATGGGCCAAGAAGCTGTCCCGCCGGGCCCGCCGTAAGTATTTGTGTTCCCTCTCTAATTGCAACAATCAATAGAAAATATTAACTAGTTCTATATAGATATATATAAATTTTATTTCTCTGACCTAGACTTTCTTTGATAATGGCACTCAGATCCAGTATTTTCACTGATGTTGCACACAGCAATTGTTAAACTATTAAATGTAACTATAGCGTGTCTAATGTTTAGTTTCTGTGTGGTTGCAGGGATTTGGCGCAGGCTCTAAGGAGACCTGCCGCCCACTGTGTAGCCTACGGAGGCGACGGGATCTAGCAGCAAGCAGTTCCATTGTGAGGTCCAAGAAGGCGACGGGACCTAGCATCAAGCAGGTCCATTGTGAGGCCCAAGGAGGCGACGGGACCTAGAATCAAGCAGTTCCATTGTGAGGCCCACGGAGGTGACGGGATCTAGCAGCAAGCAGGTCCATTGTGAGGCCCAAGAAGGCAACGGGACCTAGCATCAAGCAGGTCCATTGTGAGGCCCAAGGAGGCGACGAGACCTAGAATCAAGCAGGTCCATTGTGAGGCCCAAGGAGGCGACGGGACCTAGCATCAAGCAGGTCCATTGTGAGGCCCAAGGAGGCGACGGGACCTAGAATCAAGCAGGTCCATTGTGAGGCCCAAGGAGGCGACGGGACCTAGAATCAAGCAGTTCCATTGTGAGGCCCACGGAGGTGACGGGATCTAGCAGCAAGCAGGTCCATTGTGAGGCCCAAGAAGGCAACGGGACCTAGCATCAAGCAGGTCCATTGTGAGGCCCAAGGAGGCGACGAGACCTAGAATCAAGCAGTTCCATTGTGAGGCCCACGGAGGCGACGGGATTTAGCATCAAGCAGGTCCATTGTGAGGCCCAAAGAGGCGACGGGACCTAGAATCAAACAGTTCTATTGTGAGGGCCAAGGAGGCGACGGGACCTAACGTGGAGGAGACAACCCCAAGCCTGTGGCTCCTGAAGCGAGGCTGGGCGGAAAAAGGTCCACTGTGAGGCCCATCGAGGCGACGGGACCTAACGTGGAGGAGACAACCCCAAGCCTGTGGCTCCTGAAGCGAGGCTGGGCGGAAAAAGGTCCACTGTGAGGCCCATCGAGGCGACGGGACTTAACGTGGAGGAGACAACCCCAAGCCTGTGGCTCCAGAAGCGAGGCTGGGCGGAAAAAGGTCCACTGTGAGGCCAAATGGCTCTAACAAATTCAATATTATCTGAAAAAGAAAAGCTATCATATACAAAACATGACAATTTCGATTTCATTTACTTTAAAGTCCAATATTTCTATTAAACACGTCTTTTGTAAATGGAAAAAAATAATAGTTGTTTATTAATGTTACTAATTCCACAACCCATGCTTTATTCATAAGAGAGAAATAGAAGAGTTAATCGACAAAATTAATTGAAAAAATCTCCAGATTCAGATTATATTAGTAAAATATGATTTTAAATGCTTTTACATTATTTTTCTACCAATATTACACTCTTATTCAATTGATACGTGTGGTAAAACGGATGAAATAATGTTTTGAGTGATTGATAATTGTTGGTGTGTTGACGCAGTCGTTGGTGCTGAGTGGACAGGTGTTCACAACAGGGGAAAATAACGAGGGCAAAAATTTGATGGGGTTGAATAACGGCAATTAACCGGAGGAGAGAAGGGTTTGAGAGGTTGAGCGAAGTTGACTATTGGCTATAACTGTTCACATGATGATATGATTGACTTATCTGAGATTTGGGGAGGTGGGATTGGCTCCAAGGTCCAGGTGCTAGCTCGATGGTGTCCAGCCGATAACTCTAGGTGCTAACTCGATGGGATCGCCGTCCTAACTCCCAGGGATCCAGCTCTCAACCGACAATTCTGTGTTCTCGATTTAAGAAGAAAGCTCTTCTGGCTTCTCATTGGTTGGAATTCGTGACGTGTAAGTTCGCTATAGGCTCATAGCTAATGAGCTACCTTTTGGTTGGTCTTTGCTAATTGCTTTGTCTTTTGGACTTGTTCTGACATGACCAGGAAGTGCTAGGTTCTTGAACTCAACTTTTATGGGTTCCGGGATAATAAAAACCCTGCTAATGATTGTCCTCTTCTAGGCCTTCTCTCTCTCCAGATTGTTAAGCCTTGTTCTTTATTAAATCCTTTAAAAACATACATTTCATACATATTGGGTCGGGTTTGCATCTACCTATGTACAAATTATGACATATATTTAAATAGAATATTTAGCAACCACAAAAAAGTGGAACGACGGCAGCACTCAAAATGATAGAAAGCTCAACAAAACTAATTATGAATCAGCTAAAAGCTATTGTCCAATATCTTTATTATCAGTTTTTCAAAGATTCTTGGAAAAAAATCTCAAAAATATTTTATCAGATTTTTATAATCAAAACGATCTATTAAACCCTAGACAACCTAAGTCAACTATCACTGCTTTGATTTCAATAAACGAGGTATTAATGGAGCATAAACAAAAGGAAATGACTCCATTAGGTACAATAGATATCTCGGGGACAATTCATGGTGGCCAGCGATCATCAAAAGCATAGACTAAGGCAATTTACCAGAAAAATTGATCAATATTTCACAATCATATTTAAATTCCAGGATTATATATATCAATTACAAACAATATAACAACTTTAAAGCCAATTACTAAGGGATCTCTTCAAGGTGGTCCGCTATCTTCACTTCTATGGACAATTTTATTGAATGTTTGCTGAAGGATTTTCACGTGCACAATTGTAGGTTGATTTTTTATGTGAATGATATATCATTAATATGCTGGAATAAAAATCTAAAATCGCTAAAAATAGGAATTGAAACAGCATTAAATACTATCCATTTATTGTGTATTGCGTGTAAATGTTCAAACTATTTTACGTACATAGTTTCAAAATATATATACAACTTATTTCTAGTTTTAAAAAGAGAGAGTGAAAGTTATTTAAATTTACATTTTAGAGGAATAATTATACGATAAATAAAGTTTATTTTACACACATATTATCGAAAACGTTTTAATTGTTAGAATTATAACCACTAAATTAATGACATAATTATAGAATATTTTAAAATAATAATAAAAAAAACTATACTAATTAAAACTAGAATTTTCAATTCATTAACGTAATTTAGGTCCACGTCAGTTGAAATAGCGTCTGCATAATTTGTTAAATTTTCTATATTCTTTTTTAACGGAAACCATTTGGCTTAAACTGGAACTGTTCATTTGACATTGTACTCTCAAATCTGCAACAAGCGGGCACCGGATTAAAATATGCTCAGGGTTGTGATTTTCTTGGTCACATAAGCACATTGAAGAATCAATTCTTCCAATTCTGTATAAGTATATGTTAAAGTCTCCATGCCCAGTAAAGAATTGTATATTATAAAAATTTGGCTGGATAAATTTTTGTAATCTTGGGTTATCAAAAAATTCTCTGGAATTATCATTAGAATCATTCTTTTCGCTGAATCATTTCTATTATAATCTATTTCAACTTTAAGTATGTTTGACAAAATCTAATTTGTTCTTGTTTCGATGATTCTTGAAAGTCAATCCTAGTATTTTAAGGTTTACAACTGGTTTGACAAGTTTCTCATGCAAGTTAATTACATCGTTTTTACAGTTGAATAAATATAAAATCTTTGTTTTCTGTCTTGATATTTTAAGTTTGTTGTTTTCATGCAGATTTGTTACATCTGTATTCCAACATATTACCGTTAGATCATCTGCCTAACCAATAATTTCGCTAATAGATTCCTGAAAGTTGGTTAATAGATCATTCATTATGATGTTCCAAATTGTCGGAGATAAGGGTCCTCCTTGCGGACATCTTTTACTTAGTTTTTGGTGAATTCATTCGTAGAGTACCTAAATCTTATCTTCCGGTTATTGAAGTGGGATTTCATTATTGATGCTGGTATATTATCCTCATCGAGTCTTTTTATCACCATTGGCCACCAGGTATTGTCAAAAGCTCCACTAATATCGATTAAGATTGTTGAGTATTGTATAGATTGTTTGATTTCTTACATTTAAGGGGGCTTTTATTACTCTCCTTAGGGTATTGTTTTCAAAGTTTTCCAATTTTTTAAAATATGGTTTTATTGGCTTCAAAAAAATGAGGTATCCAAATATAAGAATGGCCTAAATATTGAAGTACAGAATGTTCTTTTGCAGGTTGGTTCGAGTTTACTTTTATTGCTTAACAACAGTGAGAGTCTATATTTTGCTGCATTTGTGACGTTGATCCTGTTCTCTCTCAATGTGTTTTTGGAAGGACAGGTAAGGAGAGAACCTCAACGACAAAAAAAAAAAAAAACTGGTCTTTTAGGCCTCATGAAATGGCTATTTAAGGCCAGAAGTGCGTGAGAACGCCAATCAATGTGAAAAATAGTACAAAAGTGAAATTATACTGGGATCAGATAGATAAATTAAGGCATCTCCTGATCGTGCCACTAAAATATCTAGAAAGCCGAAGACGCTAGATGGACCCTGGAAAGTCGTTAAGAACTGTTGGGAAGTTCTTGATAAAAATATCCTAAGACGAAGCCTTATTTCCTGGAAATATCTATGCAGTGCTGTTGCTAAACGTCATTGTTTACACATGGAAAACAATAAGTTGCACAAGCATTTGTAAATTATTTTGTAAAAATCACTAAAATCGTTCTTTCAAAAATGGAACACCCTCTGTAGATTTCACTTTCCTGCATGCAAAATCTATTTCTTGAGCATAGAATTGGTCTAGATACTTTGTCAGCTATACACCTCTTTGGTAGATTTGGAAGATTTAAAAATTCCTTATTCACCGCATCAATCAACACAGGCCATAAACGTCTGAAATAACGACTAAGAGAAACACTGAGGTGAATCATTAATAACATTAAAATGTTTTAGGACAATGTAACAATAGCTAGGGTTCTCGACATAGGAGACGAGGCAGTCCTTTGAAAATAAATATAGAAAGCTTGCTAGGTAAGGGGAAAGAGGAGTTAAACGCTGTTTTAATATATTGCTCTTCTCTTTTTTACAGTATGGAAGAAATTTTGTAAGTTCATTCACACTTGAGATGAGATAAGAAAGATTCTGGATCGCATTTAGATGTTACCGGTAAGTCGGTTCTTAGAGCAGAACACTTTGTAATACCTCCACCAGTGTAAATTCCTCAAATATGTGTATGTAACTTTATTAACACATAAACCACCTTTATAGAAATAAATATTTATTTTCCTTTTTTCAGACATGAAAGTAGCAAGAATAAGGTTGAAAAGGTTATATTTAAGGAATATACATTTCTGTACAAAAACGTGTTTTATATTAATATTTCTGTATCATACTGTCATATGGCTTATGAATATTTGTATGACCTAATTCAATATTTTTTGTAGGTGATTTCTGGTTTGTTGTATGCAGGTTCAGGCTTGTAGTACGCGGGTTCAGGTTTCTTGTATGCGGGTTCAGGCTTGTAGTAGGCGGGTTCAGGCTTGTAGTAGGCGGGTTCAGGTTTCTTGTATGCGGGTTCAGGCTTGTAGTAGGCGGGTTCAGGCTTGTAGTAGGCGGGTTCAGGCTTGTAGTAAGCGGGTTCGGGCTTGTAGTAGGCGGGTTCGGGCTTGTAGTAA